ATAGATAGATAGATAGATAGATAGATAGATAGATAGATAGATAGATAGATAGATAGATAGATAGATAGATAGATAGATAGATAGATAGATAAGGTATCTGTTTGATCATGATAGTGTTAGTGATGCTGCACAGCCAGGAATAACTGAAGAAGAGAACCATGTCAGTAGTCTGGTTGTTTTCTATGGTATCCAATAAAAAGGTCACAAGTTGTACAATTTGTGTGTTTGTGTAAAATTGGTAAATATTGGTTATTGGCCATAACAGCAATAATAATATAATAATATTGGCTATCGGCTGAAATTTTCATGTCGGTGGTGCATCCCTAATAAATTGTTTATTTAATTTAAATTGTATGTTTCAATGCAACAAAATAAACAAATTTATAAGGTAAAAGATAATAATACTTGTTCTGTTACATGCTACAGTGTTTCACCTTCCATTAAAAAAGTGTTGTTAGTTTTCTTTTCTAGTGTTTTTTCCAAATCTTTTTACAGTAATCACYAGCTGTGAAACGTTGTACACCCTCTGCTGGTCACCTTTGGTATTACAACTTAAACTAATGATGAACCTCCCCTGTGGTCTTTTCCTCCCCACTATCAGCTTTAAATTTAACAACCTGTGTCCAGTATGTCCACCATCCATCCTCTTCATCTTAGGCCAAACGGAGTTGTCTCTCTCATGTCTTCATTTTCTGTCCGTCTCTGCCACCTCCCACTCAAAGTTCTCGTTATGTCGTCATCTTTTCCCCCCTCTCACTCTTGCAGCCAACCTTCTGTCTCATATCATCCCCAGCTCATCTCTATCCATTTTACAATATGATCCCAGGTACTTGAACTCTCTTCCACCTGCTCCCTACTCTCACTACAGATGTCATCTAAGCAAGGACTCCTGCATCAGTTTAATTGTGTTGAATAAAATCCACCTCATGTCATCTCATGTTCTTCCAGTCAGACAGATGTTGTGCCTTTAAATATTAATATCTGCACAATGTGTCTGTGTGTACTTGTTTCTGCTACAGAGTGAGGACCACTTGCAAAATAGTTACTATCAAAGTGAGGTCTTTGATGTAAAGTGAGGACATTTTCCTGGTCCTCACCTTTTTTTTAAATTAATTTATTTATTTTTTGCAACTCTACTGTGCTCTACTAGTTAAGTTTAGAGGTATGTTGTGAATTAAGTTTTGGTTCAGGTTAAAGTTAGGAGTAGACCAGTAATGGTTAGTTTTAGGGAAAATATCTGGGTTAGGCATAAATACAGTTACAAAAATGAATGGAAGTCAATACAAAGGCCTAAGTTTGGTGCAAATACAAGTGTGTGTGTGTGTGTGTGTGTGTGTGTGTGTGTGTGTGTGTGTGTGTGTGTGTGTGTGT